CGAGGATTCGGGAGCCAATCAGCGCACGCGCCCTTTGACCCGGAAGCAGAGCCAGCGCGTGCCCGGCAGCCGAGCCAGAGACCCTCGCGGCTGTAGCTTCCCGGCCGCTTGCGGTGCGTATTGCGTACGGAGCCCCGCGGGCCGGGCCCTTTCCCCGGAAACCAGTCTGTTGGCCCGGGCCGCAGGGAGGTGGGAGTCGGGGCTCGTTTCTGGGGCGCCTCCTTCCCTGCTCCCGCCCTGCTCCTGTCGCGAGCCGGCCCGGGTGCGGTCATTTACTAGGCCCGTTTCCCGAAGTTCCCCTCTTCCTGTGTGTGTTCTGATCCCAACTGCTTTCAGGACAGCGCTTGCTTCTAGCGAACGATAATAATAATAAATAAAATTTTTAATCCCAACGTGGGAATGCTGCCTCCGGAGCGCACACCAGGCCCTGACAGTTTAGGTTTGTGTGCCTGGTTTTGTGAATGTTGTTTTTAGATGCCATATTCCGACGTCCCTTCCTCCAGATGTGTTTTGTTGCTGTTGGTTTGGTTTGGTTATTTTTTTGACACAGGGTCTTGCCATGCAGTTCACGCTGGCCTTGAAGTACTGACTATATCTTTTAATCAAAACAAAATTTGGTGGTTTTACATCTGTAGGTATCAGAAATGTGGAAAAGTGAAAGAGTATGGGCCAAGTGCTGAATTAATTAGATTAAATTTTTTTCCTTCAGCTTCTGTCCCTTGATAGGTATTTGAGGTGTGTGTTTGGGACCTTCCGTAACATTGTGATACCTGTTTTGATTCATTTGTTGAATGACTAATGCTGCCGGTGCTTATCGTCTGCTGTATTCCACAGCTTCTTGAAGTTGTCCAGTGGAAGACTTATTCTTAGAACTGCTCGAGTTTGACAAACAGGATGAAGCAAGATGCCACAAGAAATCCTGCCTACACTGTGGACTGTGAAGATTTTGTGCATGTGGTAGAATTTAATCCCTTCGAGAGTGGGGATTCAGGAAACCTGATTGCATATGGTGGCAATAATTATGTGGTGATTGGCACATGTACATTTCAGGTTAGTCCACCAAGTGCAGTGAGAGTGGAAGTATTTCACTGATGTGAAAATGTGTACAAGCGAAGCTAACCTGAAAGCACTGAATTTGATTGTTGAAAAAAAGTTATATGAAGACCCACAGGAAGATGGGCGCTTGAGATCTGTGCAAACGGTACATGGAGGGTGAAAATGCTGTTTTGCCTCCTGTTTAAAAATGGAATATTTTGGTAATTAAAGGCTGTAACTGAGCGTTGGTATATACAGAAAATACCCATTCAATTAGATCCAATTAATTACAATTTTTCTGCTTTAGCATAGGAAGCAGGTAATACTGAGACCCTAAAAAATGATCTCCTAGGAACATTTCAGCTTTAATGATACTGAGCTTTCCTAGTAATCTGCTCTCACACTTTTTCACATTTAAAGTATCTATGTAGAGTATACCAGCTCTAGGATCACATGAACTGGGTGGAAGTTGAGGGCCGCCCTTCCATTCTGGAGATAGAAAGCCTAAGAGTTTACTTCTGCGTGGCCATACCGCTTATAACTACACAACCCTGAACAAGTACTCAACCTCTTTTCTGTAAGAGGGAAGTGATGCTCACAGAGTTTTATGAGGATGTGGGAGACGATCTATGTGAAGTTCCCAGAAGGCATCTGCTGCACTGTCATCAGCGTGTTTTAGCTGCCATTGCCATGGGCCATAGTGACAGTCACAGCCCATTGCTCCACAGTGAGCTGTCTCACAGAGGAGCCGCCTGCTTCTCAGAGGCGCAACAATGCTGATTTAACCCTCTGGAGCCTGGTTAATCCTTTTCTGCCAGAATATCATTCATAACGACCATATTTTTCAAATTATACTTCATTGACAGTTACCAGTGACCGGTTTTCACAGATTTAGAGTAACATGCTTTGCTCTTTTAGGAGGTAGTAGTTTTGACATCAAGATGCAATTGAGCATTTTATGGTACACTATGTCTAAAGCTACACAATATTGGCATGTGTTCGTATTTGTCCTATGGAGAAATAGGAGTGAAAGGCTTCAGTATTTTGGCCTCTGATTGAGTGATCCCATGTTGTGTGGTTAGGTAGGGGAGGAGTTTCTGGCCCAGGTCTACCCTTGTCCTGACTTCAGCTGGGCGAGTAGATGAGGGTCAAGTCCTATGCTTAAGAGAAAGGGTTGTACACTTTTTTCAGGTGTTCTCAAGGTGAAAGAGTTGGCAAGATAAACCTCACAGTCCTTCTAGTGAAAAGTCTGCCCACGGCTTTATGTGGGTGTGGTGGGAGGGCCAGTCCCAAACTTTAGAACTGTCTTCCATTGGCTGGCCACACCCCAGCCTCCAGCTGCGGAGCCTTGGGTGGTTCTGTTAAAGCAGTTTTTCCCAAGGCTCCGTCTCTTTCCCATACCAAACTGCCCATCCTCCCGCCCCATCCAGGAGAGCACTTACTCTGCCCTTTTCATTGGCCAGCAGTGCTACCAGGAAGGAGAGGTTTCACCAGCAGCACAGAAAGCTCAAACTGTACGCTCCCTGAGGTTTTGTTGTCCCTGTGACCACCCGAGAAACAAGTCCACGTATGATTTGAGTAACAAATACAGAAGCTGTTTTTTGCTGCTATTGTTACATTCGTGTAATAGTGTGCCTTTTTATATAAAAACTTTTTAAAAAATCAGTTTGTCAAGTGTGGAAAAACAGGCATAACCCAAACTGTCAAGTCACCTGTTCTTCACCTCCTACACTTGTTTTAAGATGACTTTAATGGTTGCTGCATTGGTGAATCCAGCTACAGTGATATCTTGGTTCACCAGCGCTTCAGTTTGCAGACAAAGACATTTGGACGTCTATATTTCATTAGCATCAACATTAATATCTACCCTCTTCATGCAGAAGACAGGGACCTCTCCCATTTGAGCTGTTACTGCTCCAGATTTATTGCTGTCCGACATCTTCCTTCTCTCATTTTTCTTTGTTTTAACCCGCTACATTTATATGTGGCATGAGATAAAAATCCTAACACATGTGAATATTCAATTTTCCAGCTCCATTTATTGAAAAGAATTTTCTTTCCCCGTGTGCGTTCTTAGGGCCTTTGTCAAAACTGAGATGTCTGGAAATGCATGGGTTTATTTCTGGATCTTTTTATTTTTTTCTGTTAGTGTGTCTTTTATGCTAATATTGTGCTGATTTGATTATAGTTCTTTTTTAAAGTTTTTTAGTAATCTCTTGATGCCCATTGATAATTTTTACCTCTTCTATGCCTTTAAATCTATCTTTTTTATACCTGATTATTCTTTAAATCTGGTGACTTTGTAGATTTGATTCTGCTGCTTGTTTTGGTCTTTGGTGCTTTGTTTTAGTAAAAGCCTGAGTTCGACTGAACTGTGTCTGGAAACTTCTGAGGCCCAGGCAGTGGCAGTGCTTGAGGCCACTACCAACTTGTCACTACTGTGAAGTAATTCCTTGTCATTGTCTAAACTGTGTAGTGGATGTGAATTCAAGACTCATGCTCATACTGGGTCCAGCAAATGATTGAGACTTTGCACAGTGGCTGCTTCTTGGTCCTGGCCTTTACCTCCTGCAGGGATTTGACAGCCCCCCACCCCCCGCCTTCCCCTGGAGGTCTCTGGCACAGCCTCCTTCCCGCCCTGGTGCTGAGCTGTGTCTCCCGTCCCCGGGTGCAGCCCGGTGCCTGTGTGGTGGCCACGTGCCCTGGTGCTCTCGGCTGCTTCTCTGGATTTGGGTTTTTGTGTTGTTACTGTCTGTGCTGCTAGAGATAAATGGCTTGACGTTTAGATTTTAACTTTTTCCTCATCTTTTCATGAAGATGAACAGAAAGCCTCTTTGTAGGACAGAAGTAAGCAAATAAGCTGACTTTACGAAGCATTAATGTGCAGAATCAAATACCTAGGACCACTTGTCACTATTCATGGATTATAATGGAGCACATGAAGCACTTGTACCGTGTTAAATAGCACCCCAAACTTCCTGAATTTGTTACGAAATGTATTTACTACTGGACGTAAAATACCTCACCAGATAAGGGGTAGAATGTGTGCTGTTGGGCTTCTGCCATCTTAGACATTTATTTTGTAATGTTTACACAACTTGGGATTTCTTCTTTGTTTGTTAATTCTGATTTGCTGTGAGTGCTTCAAAAGCACGCAGGTGACTCCCTGCTACCTTGTTCATGGTACCGTAGCAGCATAAGACACTGTCCGGTGGCCCCTAAAACAGCGTTCCCTGTGCATGCGCAGGAGGAAGAAGCAGACGTTGAAGGCATTCAGTATAAGACCCTGCGGACACTGCACCACGGCGTGCGGGTAGACGGCATAGCGTGGAGCCCGGAGACCAGACTTGACTCGCTGCCGCCCGTCATCAAGTGAGTGTGCAAATGTGAGGTCCTGGATTTCTCGGTGTGCTTCAGTTGTGTCGAAGGATCCCCAGTGTGAGCGTAGGCACCTTTGTCTTCCAGGCCCAGATGACCAGCTGTTTGGCATTTGCTGTTTAATACCGCAGGGCTGCCGTCTTTATTGGTAGCTTCAGTTGACCACGTGTTGGGTCCAAACTGCCAAGCGCTTTACCTGAGATTCATCTGAATCACTCAAAGTCTTTACAGATTCCTTACGGGCTTTGCCACCTTAATTGTTGAAAGCACAGCTCTGTTAAAAGAGCTACATTTATTTGGAACATTTTTGACCCTTCCGCTCCATATAGGCCAAGTTTGCATTTTCATGTTTAACAATGCATTATCTGTATAGTTCTAGTCATTGGGCCTCGGTTTTTGCAAAAGCATTGAAAATGATTGCTTTTTTAAGAAATGTCTTGGCACCTATTAGACCTTTACGAGTGCAAAAATGGGTTAGGTCATTTAAGGTTTGCTATACATCTTATTTCCTTAAAATGTCAAATCCAAAAGATAAATCTTCATTTCGTAAACAGTAAGATAGCTACTATTGAGATAATTTTCTAATTTAGCAACAACTTACAGTGGAATTCTCAGCTCTGAAAAGGTGTGATGAAGAGTTTTGACAAATGCGTGTACTTTTCTCACCTCACACCTGGTAATGCACACGCGGCTGTCACCCTGGAAAGTTTCCACATTCCTTCAGCACTAACCCCACGTCGCATTCCATGCCAAGAACCATTGATCTGATGTTCCTGACCAGAAACTGGTTTTGCACATTGTAGAACTTGATAAAAATGGGATCATAGAGAATGTAGGTTTTGGGAAGAGAGGGGATCTAGCTGGATGTTTTCAAGATCTTTTTCCTTTTGAGTAGCGCTCCATTCCACTCACCTGTACCATAGCTTGTTCCCCGCTGTTGTGTAAGTGTGTGCTGGGACAGCTCCCAGGGTGCAGTTAGGGCTGGGCTGCCGCAGTGTGCCTTGGACCAGCTGTTGGTGACAGATGGCTGCACTGCTCTCAGTGGCAGAGCGCTTGCCAAGCATGCTTGGCCCTGGGTTCAATCCCCAGTACATACTGCAAAACAGGACGGAGAGAGAAAGGAGAGCCCGTCTCTGAGGATTGCGCCATTTCGTGTTCCATCAGTAATAAAGGCTGTTTGGGTTGCTCTGCCTACTCCCCAACGTTTATTGCCAACCTTTTTAATTTTAGCCACTGAGCGTTTTCCTTGTGAGAAATCTTGTCTACAACAAAGTTGTGAAGATGTTCTTCTTTTCTCTAGCAGCTTACACGGGTTGTGTTAATTTTGAATAATCTTTGCAATAGCTTTTGTCAGCATACATACGTCATCGCCAACAGCTGCTGAGCTGTTCATTTCCCTTTATGTTACAAGGAAGCATTCACAGTATTGGGAAATAAACAAGAGCAAGTCTCTGCATTCTTTAGCAATTTCAAAAGAGATGAAAAGTCTTCTCACTTTTTTTGTGTGTGTTTTGTTTGTTTCTTTCCTTTTTGCAGTACTGAGGATTAAGCCCAGGGCCTTCCCACTGAGCTACATCCCCAGCCCTTTTTAATTTTTTGTTTTGAAAGAATCTTGCTAAGTTGCCCCACCTGGGCTCAAACTTGAGATCCTCCTGCCTCAGCCTCCCAGAATGCTAGGATAAGTTTTGTGATGTTTCTTTAACCTGGATACTCTGTTGGTATGTCCTGCGGGTATTTCCCTCATTGCTTGGTGCTTGCTTTCCTGTCCTCTTTTTCTTGAATTTGCTGCAATTTAATATTTTGGGATTTTTTGTTTGTTTGTTTGCTTTGTGGTTTTTTTGGTAAGCTATCTCAGATCCTTCTTGGAACTATGCTAAGGTAAGTAGTAAATTCAGAAAATGTTAACCAGCCATTAATTTTAAAGACGGGGTTGTGTGTGTAGCTCGCTGCTAGAGTGCTTGCCCAGTATGTACAAGGCCCTGGGTTCCATCCAAAAGACAGTATTTTTAGAATAAGCTGATAGCAAAATTTTGTTGTTTTGAAATAAATTATATATTTTTATCCTAAAAATAATACATGCTTAGCATATAAAATTTAGAGAAACAAATATAAAAGAACAAAGTCACCTACACATCTAGTACTCTTAGTGTTTATATGTAACTCTACATAACTGTGACCATCTTTGTGGACCTTTTTTGCTGCGGATTTTCTTCATAGTCTCCCAAGTGAACATAGTGTTTTCTGCGTGGCTGGAGAAGGCGAGGTCTACCTGAGCATCCCTTGCCACCATCAGCGAGCATCTTCCTTCCTTTATTTATTTATTTGTTCCACCACTCCTGGGGACCAAACTCAGGGCCTTGTGCTTTCAAGGCAAGAGCATCTTCTTTAAAGAGAACCCCTCCCGCCTGGCCCATGCTCGCTGCCGGTGGCTCACGCTCTCCCTGCCTTCCTGGTCGGCACATGGCTGCTTTCGCGGTGGCTGGAGAATGAGTCACGCGCCTCACTGCAGTCCTCGCTCAGTTAAACACTCACCTGCAGAGCGGCATCAGCATTCGGGCAGAGCCTAGTGTCCGATTTGGTGCTGAGGAGTCCAGAGCGGGCTGACATTTTGTGTGTTCGCAAAATATAATGTTTAATTTAACAATGGATCTACAACCCCTCCCAGGCTCAAGTAGGAGTTAAAATGATTTGGTAACTTGGAGAAGGAGCTGGCCATAAGGCAGGATTTTCACTTGTAAAGATTAAGTTTGTATTGGGTTTTTTGCTTCCAGATTTTGTACATCAGCTTCTGATCTGAAAATCAGGTTATTTACTTCAGATCTTCAGGACAAAAATGAATTTAAGGTATGTGGGCAAGTATAATTCACAATCTTTAGAGTTCGTTTTAAAATGCCTGTTCATTACTTATTGCTTGTTAATTGTATTTATCCCTCTTGAAAATGACTTCAGGGTCACCTTTCTGGGATATAATTTCGGGTGTCATTCCCTGTGTCACACCCTGTCATAGCCGGATGCTTAATAACCACTGCAGATTATAAATCTGGTATCACGGTTTAATAAAATATTCGGAAGGGCACATGAGGGAGTTAGGAACCCGCAGCTGCGTGAGAGTGCTGTGCCCACGCCGGGTAAGCGCTGGCCTCCGGGAACGAAAGGTCGGCACGAAAGGTCGGCACGCAGGGCACCCTGAGGCTGCAGCATGGTGGGGCGCCCAGCTCCCTTTGTGGCCTTTTCCTGCCTCGGCAGCAGCGTAATTGTGGCACCTGCCTCTTGGGATTTTGCGCTTTGGCTGAGGTGACGCATTCAGGCCCTGAGAACTGGACCTCATACAGCATGAGCCCCACCTGTGTGCTTTCTGCCACTGTCGCAGCCCTCGCTTCGGGCTGAGATGCGTTTCCTTATAGAGTAGTGTGGCTTTCTTGACTCTAATAAACTAAAAATATGTTACAAAGCAACAACAAGCTGTTAATCTGCCCAGTCACTTAGAAAGTAGTAGAAATCATGCTCTGAGCTGTTTGCAGTGGGCACACAGTCCCGTCACGCTGGCTAATCTGAGCCTTTCGCATGAATAACCAAGCGTATGAATGGCACTTAAGATTTTCACTTATGAAAAGTTAATGTGCCTGTTATACTATGCAGTACCCATTTAATGTTACTTTAGTTTATGTCCTAGATCATATCAGGCACTTTGGAGAATTACTTGAAGCTCCTAGGTTTGTGAACGTTGCACGGAAATGTACCGACCTCCCTCACCACCGTGACACGTTTCTGCATGGTGAACAGGATGACAGAAAACGACCTTATTAACCTTGGAACCGAGGTGAAATCTGAGTGTTAGGAAGGAAGGAAGACGACCACTGAGAGAGTCTAGGGCCTCAGCGCTGCAGAGTCTGCGGCCCACCTCGCCTGCTGTCTTACTCCCCTCTGCCTTGCGGCTTCCCATCTGTCCCTTCTGTGACCGGAAGAGCTTTCTGTTCTGCCTGTGGGCTTGTGACATTGGCTGTCACCAGTGCTGACGGTCACACTGAGCAAGAGAGTAAAGACGTCAGGAGGCGAGCTTCATTCGCTGCCTGTGAAGGAGTCAGTGTGCGCGGCCACAGTGGAGGTAGAAGCCTCGAGGGACTGTCGCCTCAGTGTCCCCCGCGGGCTGCTTTCGTGTTTGGTTAAGCTCTGTGTAATGAAGGAGAAAGGAAGCGATATGAGAACGGGTACAGTAAAAAGAAAGTCTTTGGTTTGTAGGAAATACACACCGGAAAAGGTAGGCTGGGCTAATCGTGGTGTACAGAGTGATGGACTTCTTTCCAAGATAGGCTTGCCAGGAAAGTTTTTAAAAGTCAAAGACTGCATCAGAAATATTTGTAGATAAGAAGAAGCAAGCTTTTGAGGCCGAAAAGTAAAAATGCTAGGTAGGCATATTGTCAGTATTTTTTTGTGCTCTTACTGACTTTCTCCTCTCTGTCAGGTCTTAGAGGGCCACTCGGATTTCATTAACAGCTTGGCATTTGACCCCAAAGAAGGCCAGGAAATTGCAAGTGTGAGTGACGACCATACCTGCAGGTACGTTGCTTAGGTCACAGCCACATTTTTGAAACTCCTTTTTTTTGATTGATTGATTCATTTTGGTACCAGGGATCGAACTCAGGTCCTTGTGCTTACGAGGCAGGCAGCAGCACCACTGAGCTAAAACCCTGGCCCTCTGTTTTATTTTAATGAGAACTATGCTTTTAAAATTAGAGCCGAGCATGGTGACGCACGCCTGTAATCCCAGCACTCGGGAGGCTGAGGCAGGAGGATCGCTATGAGTTCGAACCAACCTGGCCTATGCAATGAGTTCCAGGGCAGTCTGAACTACATAGTGAGACCCTGTCTCAAAAAACCTAAATAAATAAATTAGAGAAAGTACACCTTTTATATAAGTTCACAAAATGTAAAAGAAGCATACTTTATTTAAAAGTGTAGGTGAGGCACAAACATGAATTTCAAAACCAGGAAATTAAGTTCACGTCCCAAGTAAAGGAAACTCTTCCTGCTGATTCCTGAGAAAATCTCTGCCTTTTCTGCACATTTATAAAATCTAAGTGTATACTGGGTCAAATTCTCCAGTGTTGGACAAGATCAGCAGCATAACAAAAGGCCACAGCTGTATTCTGAAGTTACGTCACAGACCCTGTGTGGGTTAGGGTCTGACAGTGAACATCGGACTCATGGGAAATGTGCAGTTTTGACAGTCCGGGGTCTTTGGTGAGGTTTTCTATAGATCCATTATCTTCCATGCCGCCCCAGTTTAGAACGGATACAGCACCAATAGCATTTAATAGTGCCTCGTTCTGAACTGTAGCACAAGTAAAGAGCAGGAAGAGCAGGAGGAGCGGTGGAAACAAGCCGGGTCAGGAGTGTGATAAGTCAGGGTGTCGAAGAATGACAGTTGCTTCATTTCCTTTACTAATACTCGGGGTGAAAAAATCTGCCCTGCTGTTTTGCATAGTTTAGATGCTCAATAAAACTATGTTAGTACCGTTAGAATTTATTACTACGTACCTGTAACACTTAAATCTGTGTTACTCCTCATTGGAAATAGAGCTGTTGTGTAGTGTGTAAAATTTTGAGCTTTATGTAGCTCACCTTTTAGAGTCATTATTCTTTATCAGCTGCCTGTTAAAATTTTCATGTGAGAGACGTGAAAGATTTGTATGATATTGAGATTCTGAGGCCCCACATAGTTGCAAAGCCAAGTCTGTGGAGACCTGAGGAATAAAAGAACCATTTTTAAGGTAGCTGGGGTCACTAGGAATAAATATCGGCATTTCAGTTCTCCAAAACAAGAACTTTCCACATCACAAGCACTTGGTATAATGAAAGCTGAGGGGGCAAAATGTACATCATTGCGAGCCGGGAAACACCTGTGAAGGAAGAGTGAGCAGCCAGGGAGCCTGAGGAGACTCCAGCGGGCTGTGGATTTTATAAGGAAAGGGCTTTATTACTTGATAAGATAAAAAGGGCTTTACTCAAGAGAAACTACTTTAAATAAGTTTAACTTTTTGACTGACTCCTTACAGTGCCTAAGCGCCTCAGCTTACTACTCTGGCTGAGAAGATTCCCGCTGGGCAGCTCTTTGCTCTCCTGCCCCCTCCTGTGGTGGGAGATTTTCCTCCCCGCTCACCTTAGCCTTGTGATTCGTTCAGGGCAGTGTCATGTAGTGTGACCCGAGCTGAAGCTGTGCCTCTGCCTGGTTGGACCACACTGAGAGCTGTCTCAGCTACCTGCCGGCCCGGTGAGATACAGAGGGCAGATGCAGACCCACCCAGCCTTACGAGACACTTCCCAGAGATCAGCCGCGCGCGCTTGAAGTTGGTGATACACAACGTGGTTACAGCAGTAGTTAGGGAGCTAAATACAGAATTCGCAGCTCAATCACCAGCCAGAAGTAAACAGCGACTTCAGTGTGAAAGCCAACCCTCAGGCCAAAAGCTAAGCAGTGTAGATCAGGTTTTTAAAAATACGTAAAAAGTAGTAAGTATCCTAACTATTCTAAAGTTAAACTGAAATAGAAAATTTCAGTACAGCCTCGGAAGGACAGAACTGCCAGGCTTGAAGGAAAGACCCTGGGTGAATGGGAACCGTGCTCCCCGGGCCATGCACGTCCTGTCCTGCAGGTGACTCTTGACACTTCACCAAAGTAGTTCTGGCTCTGCTGGGTCTGTGTGTGGGTGAGGTAGGGAGGTCAGTAAAGTCCTTGTCCCGCCTTGTCTAAGCCTTGGTCATCTTAGGAACGGTTCTGTGTGCAGGTCTCACTGTGCTTTTACAAACATGCCAAAGAGAAGAACTAGATAGAAGGGCAGCAAACAAATAGAGAAAATGTGCAAAAGTGTAAAACACTCATTATAGACATGCACAAAAAATACTCCAAATATTTCCACTATTAGTACAATACACAGTCATCTCAAGTGAATATGGAACTTTCTCTGGAATAATCCAGATGTTAGGGCTCCAAACAAATACCAGTAGATGAAGAACAATTGAAATCATATAAACTATCTTCCTAGACTGCAATGGAATAAAACTAGAAACAATGAACCTTGGAAAGGCTACAGATTGATAGATACTAAATATTGCCCTGTTAAACATCCAGTAAGTCAAAGAATAAATCATTAGGAAAATTAGAAAATACCGGTGATGAATAAGAACATATAGTTGGGGCCAGGGATTTGGCTCAGTGGTTCTGCCACCTGCCTTGCAAACGCAAGGTCCCAAGTTCAATCTCTGGTACCACAAAAAAAGAAAAAAGAACAAAGTATGTATAAAACTTAAGAGATGCAGCAAAAACTTTGCTGTCAAGGAAATTTATACCCGTGAGCACCTACAGCCTACATTAGAAAAGAAAAAAGGTCTCAAACCAATAACAATCTAAACCCAGAACTATCAAAGAAAGAGGTCAGAGCAGAGATAAACACAATAAAAAATAGCTTTATTCTTAGAAGAGATCTACAAAATTAACAAACTATTAGCTACACAAGAAAAGAGCAGTATGTCCCACCTAGTAAAATCAGAAGTGAGAACATTGCTATATCAGTCATTGCTCGCTAGAGAAACAGATTTAATGCAAATTATACAAATATATTAGGGTTCCCAAGGGAGGCTTACAGTGGCCACCTGTGGGATCGGGTAGAAGAGTGCAAAAGGTCTGTCTGCGTTCTGGGGAACCAAGGAGCCAGTCAGAGGTGGGAGCCTGGAGCTCACAAGCGTGCACATCAACACAGAAGCAGCTGCACAGAAGTCTGAAGGGTCTGTGCTGGGGCCAGGAGACGACGTCCAGGGTGAAAGTGAAGACTGGAGCTCCACCATAGAAACCAAAGCATGACTTCATTTCCCTTTGATTCCTCGGGCAGCAAGCCTTTTAGGAGGTGCCACCCACACCCAGGGTGGGGCTTCTGTCTCATTGAATCCCTTCAGCCCCACCCAGAACGATGCTAATTCCAGTCCCTGGACTAATTTAGCACCACACCCTCAATCCCCTGTCCCAACTGTCATACACCCCAGCCAACTCTGAAAAGCCCCACCTGTGAGAGTGTGAGGCTTTGGGGAACCTCTATACCAGCCGTAACAACTACCAACCTTATGGAAATAAAAGGGTTCTAGAACAATACCTTGAACAACTACATACTAGCAAATTAGATAATCCAAATAAAATGGGAAGATTTCCAGAAACACAAAACTGCAAAAACTGACTCAAAAAGAAAATCTGAGTAGACCTATGACAAGAATTTGAATCTGTAAGCAAAACCTTCCCAGCCAAAGAAATGCCTCACTAGTAAATTCCACCAACCCTTTAAAGAAGTAACAGTAATCTTCCTCAAATAAGAGAGCAAGAAACCAAAAAGAACGGGCTCCTTTCCACTTCATTGTGAGGCCACCATTACTCTGATACCAGAGCCAGAGGAAAGACATCTCAAGAAAACTACAGACCTGTTTTCCTTGCAAGTAGTTGAAAAGGCCTCCACTATCTAAAATGAAGTTTTAGAAGAAAATTTAAAGACCAATCTTCATGACCTTAGATTTGACAGTGGTTTCATAGAGATGATATTGCACATATAACAGGAAAGATGGATGAATTGGAAAGCATCATAAAAACCTTCTGGGTATCAGAGGAGACTGCCAAGACAGTGAAAAGAACTTACCAAAGGAGGGGAAATATTCTTAAATCTTGCATCTAATAAGAGTATTGTAGAGCTGGGGATTTGATTCAGGCACCACCGCCTGCCTCACAAGCACAGGGACCCAAGTTTGATCCCCAGTACCAAAAAAAATACTGTTACTCATAATTCAACAACAAAAAGGTAACACAAATAAAAAATGGGCAAAGGATTTGGATCAGCAGTTCCATAAAGATTTACAAATGACCAGGCATGGTGGTGCACACCTGTAATCCCAGCACTCGGGAGGCTGAGGCAGGAGTTCGAGACCAACCTGGGGTACACAGTGAGTTCCAGGGCAGTCTGAACTACATAGTGAGACCCTGTCTCAAAAAAAAAACAAAAAAAAGATTTACAAATGGACAGTCAGGGCACGAAAAGATGCTAAATATCATTGATTATTAGTATACTGCAAATCAGAACCACAGTGAGATACTACTTTAGACTCACTATGATAGCTGAAAATTTTTTAAATGCGAAATAACAGGAGAATGTGAAGGAAGAAACTGGAACCTTCATGCTTGGAGTGTAACAATCATACTGGTGCATCTAATTTGGAAAATAGTCTAACAATTCCTCAGAAGGTGAACAGTGACCATGTATCCCACTAAGTCACAAACTGTGGTAAATGTTCAGATTTTTAAAAGATCGCTGCAGTAAAAGATACATTGCCACTAGTCCTCCCCTTGCTGTGAGCACACTTAGCCCATCACTCTTGGTGCTGTCTGCAGCAGTTTTGGTGGACCCTCCCCTAAGTGTCTGCAAGCATTTTGACCTGTGCCTGTGTTCTGGTGTTGGATACTGATACTTCCAAGAGAGACACAGCGTTATAATCAGCAAGCAGCGTTGTGGGCTTAGAAATACCATTTTGGAGCAAGCTCTATCCCTAAGTAGGCTCATAACATTTATATATTTTGTTTGAAAATTGCCATATTCTGAATCACAGAAGAGTCAACCAAAGTCCCGTTATGAACTCAATGTGGACTACTCTTGAGTATGAGAGGTTAAATTTTACCTAAGTCTAATTCTGTTGACCCATGTTCTGTACAAATTTGTAAGAAAACTAAGTTCTCATTCCCAATACCATTTTTCTTTCAAAAAATTCTGCTTCCTACTATGCATTCTTAAATGAGACTCATAGAAAACAGCCTATCAAAACGTATAATTCCAAAAACTCCGTACCTTGATTGTGTTCTAGGCTGTATCCTATGAAAGGAAGATGATTGGTTGTGGAATCACAGTGCGCTGCATATTGCACACACACACACACACATATATACATATATATGCGAGAGGCAACTACGCATGCAGAGAGGGGCAGACTCGTCTTTGTTTCGCTTTGCAGTGAATGAGATCAGAAAATAACAGAGTGTGAGGCAGAGGCCAGGCTTCCAAGCTGTGCGGTTCCAGGGCCGCTGTCGGCACAGAGCACAGTGCAGTTGGTGCCATCTGTGGTTCCACGAAAACCTGCAGAGCTAGAGTGAGAGTTCTAGTTTGTACCAGTAGAACAGAATAAGTAGGAGTGGTGACAGCAGGAAACAGTGGTCATCAAAACAGGGAGAATAGGTCAAGACAAACAAGAGGCTATCAGGTTGTCCAAAGGGGAAGAATACTCTCGCAGGCCCGCCAGCTCGCGTGTGTCTCTCAAAGTAATGCTGTCTGCTGTGGGATGAATAATTAACAAGCGCTGCAAAAAACGTACCTTCTTTCTTGAAATTTTCCCACCATTTGCTGCATTTCTAAAGTGTCTGTCCCTCAGAAGTCACACAACGCGATTACCGCTGCTGGTGTCGCCTTTGAACACCAGGTGCCCTGTCATTAGGACCCCAGCACTGCCACCTCTGGGTGGGAACCGCCTCCGCCGAGGAGAGTCACTGGTCTACGATTTTACGGCGTGATGTGCGGCCAGGCACTATTCTGAGCTCTCCGTATGTATGGATCACTTCGTCCTCAAACCCTTACTGCATGGATTCGCTTGCTGATGAGGAACTCAAGCAGTCCAGGTCTTAAACCCTAAAGTATACCAATTATACTTTACTTATTTAAATTAGTTTAAGAAAAGAACTGTGCTTAGTCGTCGTGTCCGTAGAGGTGTTATCTTCTGCTAGTGAAGGATTGCAGTTCTTCCAAAGCAGCTTGGCCAGAGCGCTGTAGGACTGACTTCTGAAACGGAGATGCCCAGGGTGCCGTGGGGAGCGAGTGCCACCGAGCAGGAGGGGCATCGGCAGTGCTTCCGTCACAGGTGGAGGAAGGGGTGAGACCACTGTCATGGAGCAGCCGCTCTGACCTTCCCCAGCAGGGAGTTGTGCGGCCAGGCGCATCTCGGGGTCCTGGATGCCCTCCTTGGGGTAGAGGAATGGAGGGGGCTGGGTGTCGTCATCTGTCACCTGTACTGGAAAAAAGTGCTATGACCAAGAGAAGGAAGCATCTCACTGCTGCTGCCCCAGCCTCAGTATCGGGGATGGAACTCAGGACTTTGCACTCGCCAGGCAGGCGCGGCACCACTGAGCTAAATCCCAACCCACACGGGTGCGTTTATAAAGGAGATTAATTCCCAAGTAAATTGCTGCCATTCATTCTTTGCAGTTGAGAATTTAGTTGTCAGGTTTATTTTCAAACGTGACAAAATCCCTCCCAATTCCCACCCTTCCAGAATCCATGGAATTAAGTGAGGTGGTGGAGTAGCCTCAGTTTCTCATCCTGAGATGATGAGCGTGTAGCTTCTGCTTAATTGATTTATAATTTCAGGAAATCAAATACAGCTTATCCAATTTCCCTTTTCTCTTCAAGGCTTCATGAAGGTATACAAGAGTGAAGGTTGTAGGGGCTGATCGGTTTTTGGTGTAATTGGTTTTATTAGCATGATCTTGAAAACAGGCCACTTCCTCCCTTCCCTGTGTCACCACCCCCAGGGCAGCCTTTGGTTGCTGTCTCTCTTTGACATTTTTAACTACTGAAAGGTAAAATTAATAGCAATTATACAAACTATAAGTTTTTTAACAAATTATAGCAAACTATGCAGTTCTCATTTTACACATTTAATTGTCCATTTCTTATAATTTATACACTAATATATTATAATTGTTACTATTATTTGCACAGTCTACTTCAGGATTTTTCTAAAAGTCCACTCTTATTTTCTGAATATATTTGGAACACTGACATTTAAACTGTCAAAGTTCACTCACCAACCAGTGTGTCCTACCGATTTAGTCATCTGATACCTAGATTTGGGATTTCAGCTATAAAGTGCCCCACCTCTGAACAGGGGTGAGGGGAGTGTGAAACCAGTATTAATCGTGCGTTCACTAACCAAGTATAGTACCATGGCTTACGATCCATTACATCATCTGTAACGTGAGTAACTTGGTGGTGTAGTTGGGATGAGAGGGAACCTCTTTATGGCCACAGGCTGTGAGAACTGTGTTTCTTGCCCAAACGCTGGCAGCCCCTTCCTGTCCCCAGCGGGCTGGGAAACACCTTTTGTCCCCGGTGACTCTGTCTCTGTAGTGCTTCTCTGTCTTGCTTTTAATCAGTCCACACTGATTGGTGGGCCTGGTGACGCATCCAAGGAAGACTGGTTATGTTTCGCTCTATCCCTAGGCGGCGGCCAGATGGGCACGGGTGTGTCGTTTAATGTCAACTGTTCCTCCTCTGTCTGTGTCTTCAGAAACATTAGGTATCGGAACTTTCTTCTGTGGTGACCTCCCCAGCAGACAATGAGTTGCCAATTAAAAATGGAGAACAAATGAGTGCAGAGTCTTCGCTAGGAAATTCCTGTGGGATTCTGAGTGTCTGCCGTACTAGTTGTCAGTTAAAAGACTAGCATGTCTCCCCATGCCAACACCAAATTTATGGCCCTCTTTATTAATTAGGGGGGACAGTCACACTTAAATACCGTGGTGGGGATACTTACTGTTCTGCCGAGAAGCACTCAGCTTGAAATAAGGCAATAATTTTAGCAATAAACTATTAAAGTGTAATTCATAATCTTGGATCCAGTCAGTTTCATTCCTCCATTTTATAGCCGATCTCTTTAAGAGTTTTATTTAGGACCATGATGCTGAGATGGGGAAAGATGTTTGTTAAAAGTGATGAATGCTGCTATAATCATCCAGTGACCTTTGTTTCCTTCAGTTTTGGCTTCTAAAATGACAGCAATTGGGACTTCACCTTAAAAGTTTTTCTTGAAATTTTCCTTGCAAACATTTATATATACACATGTACGTTTCACTTATTTTCTGTTTTTTGTTTTGTTTCATCTTTGTTGTTTTGAGTCAGAGTCTTGCTGTATACTTCAGGCTGACCTTGAATTCTCTCTGTAGCCCAGTCTGTCCTTGAACTCGTGGGCATCTTCCTGCCTCAGCCTCCCAAATTTGCACCACCACTCCCAGCTTTCACATGTACATTTTCAGATAGCTCCTGATTTGAGGCCAACATAATTTAACCTGATAACCTTTATACCATACTTTCATAAATGGTCTACTGTCTTTTCATGTGCTATGTTAAGAATGCTACTCTTTCTTTGACATGCCATTTTCCTGAAAAATATACTTCTCTGCATAATAATTGACTTCCAGGTAATTTTGTTACAAAGTTAAGAATTTGGAAATATTAAAACCAGAGGTTCCAAATTTTGAATTTATTTCTGTTCCAGTAGGAGCCTCTTATCTGACCTGATCTAAACTAGTGGTTTCTTTGAAAACCAAAGTCAGTAAACTCAGCAAACCAATTTAAAACCATACCTGTTTATCTTGTTTTAATTTGCAACATACACAGTGCATAAAAATTCATTTGCCAAACTTGATAGTAGACTGGTTTTTTCCTTAGGATATGAGTCCTTTGGTATTGGATCTCGGTTTTTGTTGTTGTTGTTGTTGTTTTCTGTTTTGTGAGCAACAACCACATTAAAAAGTCAGCAGTGAAAACAATCAGAATACACCTAGATTTTGATTATTTTTGTTTTACCTTCTATAATTGTCTGCCATTAAGAGATGTGTCATCTTAGAAACTTACCTTAGTTGCCATCAACTTATTTCATTGAAACAGCTCTTTCCCACAGACGTCTTCCCAGTTGTGTAGTACTAAGAGTAGGATTGCACTAGTGAGCAGACAAGTTTAGGGAACAGCCCTGCTCCCTCCCTCGTGGTACATGTTCGGCAAGTGCGCCTGGGAGCGCCTTAGGGAGACACCGCCTTCCCTCTCCAGTCAGTTCTGCAGCAGAAAAAAGGAAGAATCTGTTGCCAGGTCTATTTAGAAGGCTTCTGTGTATTCTGTTCACTGCATTTTAAAATTTATGTAAAGGTTTCCATTCAGATACATGTGAAAATAACATAACGTGCAAGAAAAAAGAGATGATATGATTCAAGAAAGTGATCTCACAAAAGGAGAGCAGCCTGAGGAGCTGGACCTTTTGCTCTTCAGACTAGTCATTATTGCAAGATTGTTTTTATCTAAAACTAAGAAAAAGTTTTGGCTCTTTCCAGCGGTAATTAAAAAGGAATGGGAGGAGCTGGAATATGAGATGCAGCTCATTTGGAAAGCTGACCACATCTACCTGCTATGGCTGAACACGGTCATAAACTGATCCGGGAGCAAACCTAGCGGGCGTGAGTGCGTGCGTGTGTGTGTGTGTGCGTGTGTGTACCTCGGGGACGCTCTGTAGATACCGTACTTGCATTGTTAGGTATGTGTACAAGAAGGTTTACAGTGGCTCTATCGGTAATGACCAAAAACTGGAAACTAACTCAATGTCTGTCAGCAGTAGGATGAATACGTACACTGTGGTGTTTCCTTAACAGAATATTGTGCCGAGCAGTGAGAAGGAGAAGATTACAGTGTGCAGCTGCTGGTCAGCCTCACTGGGTCTGATGAGAAAAGACGTGAACAAAATACACAGCATGTGATGTTGAACAAGAGGCAGCGTCAGCTCTGGTGTTAGTGTCGTGGGCGCCCTTTGTGAAAGAGCTGAGGGAGCAGGGTGGAAGGAAGGACCGCAAGAGGACTTCATGGGTTCTCGAGATCCTCTGGGCCTGGGTGCTGTTCCCTTTGAGCAAATTCTGTTTGAACCATATACTCAAGATCTGCGTACTTGCCGGGCATGGTGTGGCACACACCTGTACTGAGGCTGAGGCAGGAGGATCGCTGAGTGAGACCAGCCTGGGCTACATAAAGTAAGACCGTGTCTCAAACAAACAAAGCATTTGCCTCCTCTTATTATGCATAATATACTTTTTTTTTTTTTTTTTTTTTTTTTTTTT